CCCTGATTATTCTAAGGGTCAGATTGAAGCAGCTCATTGGCTAACAATTTGTCAATATCAAATCATGGAAAAGCATAACTGGACTTAAGGGTAGCTACATCCATCTTTCATACAGTCTATACTTTATACCCAACATACACTTCATTGTTGACATATTTAATATTTATTTTTGGTATATAAAAACATCCGGGGCACAAATCAGTCAAAAAGAACACAAATAATGCCAAATGAAGCCTTTGACAAAAAAGAAAAAACAAAACAAAACACAATTCCAGTGTTGGGTCATGCATCGTGGGCAAAAGAGGTCATTCAGGGGGCAGATCATACAATATTAGAAAGCAGAAGAATTCTAAACGTACACAAAGCCTATAACATCAGAGTTGGGCTGTTTGTAGAAAGCCTTATCAGCAATCCTAGCGTGCAGAGCAAGGCCAAGAAAGCAGGAAAAAAGAAGGAGAGGAGAACAGTTTCAGTGTCAGTCAACAAGCAGAAAAGTGTTAGAGTCTGGGTTATTGTAAGCAACTGAGAAACATTTCTAATGAGGTGGAAACAGTGACTAAACATCTCGCACTAGTGTCATAAACAATCTAGGATGGTCTTTGCTCTAGCATGGGGAGGGGGCGACTGCAACATTTTCTTTCTGCTGTCTGCATTCTTTTCAGCTAGCTAGTTTCCTGTTTTGCTTTCTGGGCACTTGAACTGGACACACAGCTGTAGACTAATATCTCATCAGAGTATTGCCTCTCAGTCCTTTAGAAAAAATAGAAGAAAAAAAGAAAAGAGCTACAGATGCAGAGCGATACCGTGCCAGACTTGGATAGAGTCTGTTGGGAAGTGTGAGAGAATAACTGGTTAGCTTGGTGAAGAAAAGAGAGACTGCACAGTTTATGACACTGAGGGGAACCAGGCTAAATGAAGTATTAAGTATTATAGTGTTGTAATCTGTTGTGATCACCTTGGTGCAGTAAATTCAACACATATACCACAACCGTGTCAATTTATCAGTCAGCTGTAAAACATACACAGGTCTAGGATGTAATCTTGTAGAGAAAGGCACAGTTTCCCACACCTCGGAAGAACCTATAAGGACCTCCACTGAACGTTTATAGTTTAGAGCGAGGCATGTTTGCTAACTGAACCACAATGTTTGTTTTACCAAGAACAACTACCTCTAACTACCAATACAAAATTCAAAACAAAGGTAGTAGAGTGATTACAGCATCACCATCATCGATTACTTCTCTGCACATTAGCGGTGGGGTGGGGGGGGTCAGATCCTAACCTGTTGTTGGTCTTATTCTTCTCCATCTGCTCACTTTGGTGTACGTGCCAGTCTTCAAGCTCCTTCTTCGCTTTCACTCTCCATTCTTCCTCCGCTGCCTTGGATGCCGAGTCTTATTAGGACGCAAGAAAGCAGAAACGTCACACAGTTGTATTACATTTAATTTCTTCTGTTTCTATGTGTGACACAGATCTTTTCTGATTAGTTTAAACTTTATCACCAGTGTGTTGAAAGCCAGTTTAGCCTCTAACAGAAGGGCAAATAGCAGTACAGTGAAGTGTTAGTAAATATGTGTGAAATGAACCAGGGACATTGTAAGGAAAATAAGAAGAATCATAAGAGCTACACAGCACTAAGTGCATTACACACAATCACTGACAGCGGCAGGGAAACATTGTTACCAACCTAATGCTTCAAGGCGTGCCTTCTGCTCCTCCCTCCATTTGCGTAAACTTTCAGGTTCTTGCCTTTGAATATCCACCTGGGCGATGGCTGCATAGCTGTCTGTTGGGCCATTGGACTCCTGTTGGGGTACGCAAAACATGTACACCATTAGAAGCAGCTATTCGCTTCATTCATGCGTGAACGCCACAGCAAATCCTTCATCACATAATTACGGTGTTCAGAATAAAACTCAACCACACATAGGTTATATAAAGAGACAGACAAGACTGAAGCTCACCTGAAACAGGTCTCCATTCAACGTGGCAGGCTCTTCAAACCCGTCTAGCATTTTTTTTTTTAAAAAACAAACAAAAAATACAGATTTAAGTTTAGATGAACTTCTTGGAGTTTATCCGCTTATACTTCCTTGCTATCTGGAGCGACTTATGCTCGCTGCTACTACTACCGTGGTGTAACTTTTGGTCTCGAAACGGATAAGACTTCAGAAATGCAGCAACACCTGTTTGGTTACCTGCTTAATATTGTCTGGGCTGCTTTGTCGGTTAGAAGGCCAGTAGCACTTGTTCGCTTGCTTAGTTTTATTGTGCTAGTGTCACATAGCTAATGTTATGTGGGATAGCGTTAAACAAAACCTACGTTGTCGCAGCTAGCTAAGCTACAAGGCTAACGTACTGTTAGTTTGAATCTAAATAGGAAGCAATAAGAGTGTTAACCACTTATATCAGACAGCGGTGCTGTTAACATATGGCAGTGGGGCCTTTGTTGACTAACTACTAAGCAAGTTACCGATGCAAGTTCCTGTATTAGTATTAGCTAGCTCTAGTTAGCTTTGTTTGCTCGTTAGCTGACGTTAGCTCAGGGACAAGCTTGCCATAGTTGTCGGTCTGCGGCTGCTGAACACCGGCTCCTTCTAGGATCCCAAATGCGTCGCCATCGTTTTCTATCCCCGCTATCTCATTCTCCTGTTGAGCCAGAAAAGCGGCGGCCGGGTCCTCTTCAGTCGGGTGCGCTCCGTTGTCAGCCATCTTTCACAAAAAGTGTAGAAGTTTGACTGAGCTTGCTTAGCTAGCTAAACGTTAAAGCCACAAAAAATCAGGCCACCGAGCTCTGCAACGTTAATAGTAACAACTTAAAAATTCGATTAGAGTGTTATCTATTCTAAATATCACTTGGAAAAATAGAGTCAGCTAGTAAAGCATACGGAACAAACAATCTACGCGTCGATTAAAGGCCGTAACTGATGATTCATTATTTCTTCACTTGTTCAACCAGTATGTGTATGAGCAGGGGCAGCACCCCGAGGGGACCTTTACATTTTGTTGGAGTTTGTCGCCATCTGCTGGCCATCTGCAGCACAGCACTGTCATCTCAAGGGTTGTAGTGCTAATGCAGTGACAGTAATAAAAAAATATATACAAACCTTATATAGCACAATTTATAAATGGAAAATGGTTCGTAAAAGCATAAAGGTTATGCATTCACCCCCCCCACCGGAAAATAAATATCCTCAGCAAAATCTACATGAGTGGATCATTAAAAGGGAGACGCAGCAGACATCCTCACCACTTAACTGGAACACCTTCAGATCCTCCCTGCCACCTGCTTCTGGATCAAAGATTTCCTCACTAACCGCCCCCAATCAGTCCGACTTTGCCCCCACCTCTCCCCCCACTCGCTGTCACTCTGCACCAGATCCCCCTATTGTATGCCCTCTACACTGATCTCAACCCACCCGACCAACATAGTCGTCAAATATGCTGATGACATACTGGGTTCATCTCTGATGGAGGCGTACAGGGCAGAGGTAGAGAAACTTGTCACACTGGTGCTCAGAAAATAACCTAAAGCTGAAGGTCCTTAAAACAAAAGAGCTCACCTTGTCCTCCGCTGGCCTTCTACTGCTCCACAGTGGAGCATGCTCTCCTACTGCCTGGGTGTTGGGTACGCAGGGGCCACAGCTGAGAGCAGGAAGGATGTGCAAATGTAATTAACATCGCCCAAAAAACCATTGACTGTCCTCTGCCAACCCTGGAGGCCAGGTCAAGATCTCCGGTCGGTCAGGTCCTACACCTCCAGACTCACAAACAGCTTCTTCTCCTGGGCCATTCGGACTGTTAAACACTCAACAAACACCCACACCCCACACCTGCCCACTCACCTCACCATGGTTTGAGTAATCCTCATCACTCAGGTGACTCACACACTGTCTATTCAGACCATGTATTTTCTTTACACTGCTTCCAAGCACTTTGCAACTTGTTCTCTAAAGTGTGCCTTTCTCTTATTTTTGTATATACCCCTCTTGACTCTATATATTTCTCCTGTTTGCTATTTACTCCTGCTATGGATCTTATTAACGGCCTATGCTTTGCATTTATGATCATTAGTAATGACCTTTCAGTAATGGTCGATGTGGTTAGTGTTAGTGGAGTTTTGTACCATTTAAAAATCCATAATTGGAAAAAACAGCACTGGATAAACAGTTTGGGGACAAAGTTAAAGAGACGAGGCTGATATGGTTTGGATACATGCAGAGGAGTGATAGTAGATATAGTAGACAAAGGATATTGAAGATGGAGCTGTCAGGCAGGAGGAAAAGACCACAGAGGAGATTCATGGATGTAGTGAAGGAGAACATGCAGAGGGTTGGTGTGGCAGAGGAGGATGCTGGCGATAGGATGAGACGAAAGTTGTAGCGACCCCTAGAGGAAGCAGCTGAAAAAAGAAGATACACATTAATTATTGCATAAATCTGGCTAGAACTGATATAGTGTCTGTCACATGAATGTTAATAATAAATATTACCCTCCTCAATTGTTCAAAATAATCTTTTTTAACACCTGTTTTTGTTTGCGAACAGAAAGAATTACGGTTTTTTTGTTGTTGTTGTTGTTGTTTTTCTTAACTGTTACGTTAAGCAAAAGAAAACAACCCCATTTGCAGGTGCTGATAGCGCCAAGGGCACGAAACAGCATACCCATTGTAGTGGAAGTTCCGTTAGGTTTCACAGCGAGCGATGTGTATGGTCGTTTTGTGACTTCCTCCCCTTTCTTTGGAATGTACAAAGGTACAAAAGAGCGAGAGCTCCACTTCTGTTCCAGGGACTGCGATTGATGACATGCGCATGATAATAAAGAGTGTTGATTGCAGCTGACCGTATCTGCGCACTTTCTTAACTTTTTTGTTTTGTTTTGTTTTTTGGTGAGACGTTTATCCACTTATCCGTTTTCCTACCAAGGAGCTTCCCTCAAAAATGTTTCACAAAAGCATTTTCAAAGAAAATATAAACCAGAATCAGAATCAGAATACTTTATTAATCCCGAAGGAAATTAGGGAAATTATAAAGCCAAACATAGTAGCACTTGCAGTAGAAGCAAATACTGCTTCTTCTTTCTTTTTTATTAAACTAACTTCACTTTTCTTTTTTATTTTACAGACTCTTGCGCTATTTCATAGTATAAGGCTCTTACCATGCAGGCACCAGTGAAACTTTCATTTTAACTGTGTTGTTTATTGTAGACGTATATATCTGTTTCTCTCTCCATCTAGGATAAGTCATGTCAAATTAAGTTACCTATTACTATTAAATAATAATGGCTTAGCTATAGCTAAGCCATTATTATTTACTGTACTTACTATAGTAAGTACAGCGTGTGTAAAAAGTTATTCTTCAGGGGCGGTGTCCTGGATTAGTTCATGTTTATCCCTGAGGCATAGTCTTATTTATTTATTTATGTTCCTTTAGTTAAAACCGACGGAGTGATTGAGAAAAGCTGTTTCAGGGCGGCTATGATGAATGGCTTTAGTAGTAGCAGCTGATGAGTGCAACTCGGCCTCTGAGTGAAATGAAGCCTCCGCCCATGTGACTTCTGACGTCTCAGCAGAGTCCTGCTAAAAAGAATTTGAGGGAATGAGTTTGCTGCTCACCAGGGGGATCCACGGCGGCTTCCTGACGTTTGCTTCAAGGAAGTCTGAAAAGTTGCCTGCTTGCCAACCCACTTATTATCATATTTTTTAATTATTTTTAATCCGGTACACTCGTGATGTCCGGCGAGCACAGAGAGACACAAGAGGTAAGCTAATGCATCTTTGTGTGTTTGTGTAACTTCTTCAAACCAGCTTTTTCCCCCACAGAGGAGTTTGTATGGGTTAAGCTGGTGCTCCAAACTGTGCAGGCTCATGCTTCTGGCCATCTTCCCCGAGCCCCTGCTGCTCTGTAGCTGTGCTAACTACTTTGTCAGAGCCGAGAGTTTTGTCCGGTTTTCGTGTCCCGTATTGTCGCGAGTGGAAACCTGGCTGTCTGCGGCGGTGTTAACCGGGGTACAGCGTTCACAGCGTGGCCTTTAATTACCGCTGGGAAATTAGTGTGCTAGACGCATTGAAGAAACCCGTGTAAGCTCGTAATTGCGTAGCGTGTTAACCAAAAATTCCCTGTATTTGAGCTCTCATTAAGAGCAACACGAGTTCCTATAGAACTAATGCAGCAGCAGCAATAATATAGAAGATTATAAATAGCAACACCATAAGCATGGGGATGAGTGCCACACATTTATTGGCTTAAAACTGATGCTTTTATTCTCTTGCCTGTCATACAGGGTGGTGTTTAATTAAGTAGAGTGCAGTCACATTAATGCTGTAACTTCCTCCGCTTTAATACAGTCTGAGTAATCAGCTTTCAGTGTGGTGTTTGTCACCAGTGAAATCTAGCCTCCATTACCTGCTGCTCCTGCTGCAGGTCTTTCTCTGTCGCCTTATGCTCCTCTGTATCATAGTTCATTTCCCTGGCTCTGAGAAAAACTAATTTAAGCTTTGCCAATAAAGAGTCAGGTTTGTACAGATCTAGAGGCTGCATTGACAGTGAATGAATGCGAATGCAAGTCTTTTTTTATTTTAAGGATTTCCATTAACTTTAGCAGATTTGCAGGTTTTCTTAGTGGGATTATTTGGGGTGCTAGGCTGGATTAAAGGCTAGATTTTCCTTATCTGTGAGCACACCACTGTCTCACCAGCCTTTACAGTGTGTGTGAGCGGCTCTGTTGCTTTAAGAGCTTGACGTTAAAGTATAATTGCTGAGGTTTTTTTTTTTTCTTGCTTGTACTATGTTTCATGCCCTACAGAAAGAATGTAGAGGGTTGTGTGCTTTGCTTCATTTGTGGCCGTCTGCCGTTTCCCAAGTGCAATGAACTTGGAGGAGGAGAAAAAAAATCTCCTGGCCCATGCCAGAATCCATGGGTCGTTGACGTTACCTCTCTCCATCCTCCTCTGCCCCCCTCCTCCTCCTCCTCTCCCTGTGACTCATGTGGGTGTTGGGCTGAAATAGTTTGGTGTAGTTTTACATTCCTTATATAGCCTCTGAGGAGTGAGGAGAGGCTACGGCTTGCCTGTGTCACAGTCAGGATCGAGGGGGTAGGGTTTGCCAACAGAGAGGGAATCTGCTTGCTCCAGCTTACTGACTCTTTAGCTTTCTCCCAGGTTTGGGCTACCAGCTGACCTTTGAGGACAAGGTAGGTGGCATAGCTGTGTGTCACGGAGACCTGTGACACCTGGTAGGTTTGCGGAAGAGGAGGAGGAGCAGGGCTAGAGTAGCCGTGTGAGCACAGAGGTCAGTGGTCAAACCCTAACTCTGTGTAAGCCACTAACAGAGGGCTGCATCTCATGTTGCCCTTTGGTTCTTAAAACTACCTATTTATTTAGTGCCTTGCTGCAGACTGGCAGTAATTAATTGCGGTGAAGCCACGATACCTGTTACCTGGCTGAATACAGCAAGTGGCACATTATCCCCCCCGAAGGAGGAGTTGTTGCTGCTATTGTTGTGCAGTAGATCTTCTAAATGCTGCACATTGGTGCTGCAGTAGACTGAAATGAATTAAACTCTAACTTCACCTTAGAGTTTAGCTTTAGATTATGACATCAGGCTATTTGTGTGTTTTGAAATGTGTAAAAATGGCACATCCAACCGGCACCGCTCCCTCTTTATTGCCTAATTTTGACGTGCCGTAACATGGTTATTCCTAAAACTAAGACGTGACATTATCTGCTGTAAAAGAAAACAACTTGAGTGTTATTTTCTGTATGGTGTGTGTATGTGTGCTCTTGTGGGCTGGTGGTGCTGAGAGCCAGCAGATAGACTGTTTCAGATAAAGCAAAATAATAAAGGACCTTGAGAACCTTTTCCGGGCTTTCTGGCTAATTAAGATGTTTCCTTTCCCCCTTTTTTTTTTCCTTCCTCAAGGGTATGAATACGTACTCTGTAACCCTCAGCGGCTCGCCGCCTTGGGGCTTCAGGCTGCAGGGTGGCAAGGACTTCAACATGCCTCTCAC